TGAATGCTTGGCCTAGCTTAGGTTCATTTTTGGGTAGCTTTCAACTTAACCTGTTTCTCTTTATCTACCTTTTGCCTCAGAGCTTATTACCTTCTTTCTTTCTCTGTGTCCTTCACTGCTTCTTGTGTCTGGGTGGCTGGTGGCTGCCTGGCATGTGGCCCTGAGCAGTTCCCTTGTTCTCTCCTCTTCCTCTCGTGCCTATATTTCTCCTCTTTATTCTTTCTGCCTGCCAGCCCCACCTATCTTTCCTCTTGCCTAGTTATTAGCTGCTCAGTTTATAAGATCAATCAGGTGCTTTAGGCAGGCAAGGTGAAAACAAATGCCTAATTAAAAAATGCAGCATAAACAAACGTAACACATCTTTACATAGTTAAAATAATATTCCACAGCAATTGTGAATATCAAAATACAAAAATCTTTCCTTTGGAGTACATATGCTGAACAAAACCTGCCCACAATAGAACAGGATGATATGAAGGTTACAGTATAACGGGTGTGTGATGTGAGGCTTCAAGACGGGGGTAGGATGTGGGGTGGGGGTGTCAAGACTTCGGGCTTAGTCTGAGCTAAGAGTAACTTCATGCAAACATTAAACATTTGGTATTTTGGTATGCCATTAAAATGTTGACTACAGGGGACTGGAGAGATGGCTCAGAGACTAAGAGTACGAGCTGCTCTTCCAGAGGTCCTGAGTTCAATTCCCAGCAACCACATGGTGGCTCACAATCATCTGTAATGGGATCTGGTGCCCTCTTCTGGCCTGCAGGCATACATACAGGCAGAACACTACACATAATAAATCTTCAAAAAGAAATGTTCAATACAGAGTAATTTAGAATACAAACATTTATACTTTTTTTTCTTTTTCCCCTAAGACAGGTTTTTTTTTCCCCCGAGTGTGTGTGTGTTTGTGTGTGTGCGTGCGTGTGTGTAGCATTGACTGTCCTTAACTCACAGAGATCCTCTGCCTCCCAAGCGCTGGGATTAAAGGTGCTGAGCTACCACTGCCTGGTCCAGTGCTATTTTTTTTTTCCCCCTCCTCCCACCCTTCTCCCCCTCCCCCTACTCCTTTTCCCCTCCCTCTCCAGTCCAAAGAGCCATCAGGGTTTTCTGCCCTGTGGTAAGTCCTATGTCCTCCCCCCTCCATCCATATCTAGGAAGGTGAACATCCAAACTGGCTATGCTCCCACAAAGCCAGCACATTAAACAGGATCAAAACCCCGTGCCATTGTCCTTTGCGTCTCATCAGCCCTCATTGTTCGCCATGTTCAGAGAGTCCAGTTTTATCCCATGCTTTTTCAGTCACAGTCCAGCTGGCCTTGGTGAGCTCCCAATAGATCAGCTCCACTGTCTCAGTGGGTGGGTGCACCCCTCGTGGTCCCGACTTCTTTGCTCATGTTCTCCCTCCTTCTGCTCCTCATTGGGACCTTGGGAGCTCAGTCCAGTGCTCCAGTGAGGGTCTCTGTCTCTATCTCCATCCATCACCAGATGAAGGTTCTATGATGATATGCAAGATATTCGTCATTATTGCTCTAGGATAGGGTCATTTCAGGTTCCCTATCCTCAGCTGCCCAAGGAACTAACTGGGGACTGTAACCTATTTTCTTGGTTTAAGAGTCTCTCTATAAACCGGGTGATGGTGGCACACGCCTTTAATCACAGCACTTGAAAGGCAGAGGCAGGAGGATCTCTGTGAGTTCGAGGGCAGCCTGGTCCACAGAGCAAGTTCTAGGACAGGCTCCAAAGCTACAGAGAAACCCTGTCTCAAAAAACCAAAAAAAAAAAAAAAAAAGTCTTTATAGCCCACGCTTGTGATCCTCCTCCCAGCCTCCCAGTCACTGTGGATACAGGTATGTGCCATCACACACAATTTCCTTAGACATTATTTATACCTGGTCTTACTAAACACTAGAGACTTGTCATTTAAGAAGCACAGGATTACTTCTTTTTTCAAAATAACTTTAAAGAAAATACCCCTTTAATCCCAGCACTCGGGAGGCTGAGGCAGGCAGATCTGGTTTACAGAACTAGTACCTGAGCCGGGCGATGGTGGCGCACGCCTTTAATCCCAGCACTCGGGAGGCAGAGGCAGGCGGATCTCTGTGAGTTCGAGAACAGCCTGGTCTACAGAGCTAGTTCCAGAACAGGCTCCAAAGCCACAAAGAAACCCTGTCTCGAAAAACCAAAAAAAAAAAAAAAAAAAAAAAGAACTAGTACCTGGACAGTCAGGGGCTGCACAGAGAAATCTTGTCTTCAAAAACAAACAAACAAAAAAGACAAAGCATCTCTATCCCTTTTTCAGATAAAAAAACAAGAGCAACTTTATTACTCAGGCCTAAAAGCCTGTGGGGTTTACCAGCGCTGGGTCACATTGGGCTTGAGCAGTGGCAGAAGCTGCTCACTGTCTGGACTTCACAGAAAGCAAGCAGCCCTTGGCTCTTAGAGGATGATGGGCACTTGGGAAAAGGTAGAAAATGCAAGGCCTTGGATTCAATCCCCAGTACACAGTGAACCTTACCTTTTAAAGAAATTTTCATTCCTGTACCGATAGCTTGAGAGGCTGTGGCAGCAAAATCCAAACAGCCCCATCTGCCGAGCACCCGAGATGTTCCAAGAAAGGCAGTCCTGCCTCCAAAGAGAAGTTTTAGAAACTGACGTTTTTGAGGTTGAACACAGTGGAGACAGATGGGGCCGGGGGTGGCTTATGATGTTGAGATGGTACATAGGGGCCAATACCGCAGACTTTATATACCACCCTATGGTCCGAAACTGTTCAAAATAACTTGAGCTGAAGAACCTGTTACCTATAATTTTTTTTGTGTGGTTTTAAAATGTTTACTAATATGCAATTAATACCATTTAATCATTTGGAGAGAAAACCCTGCTTCATGGTTTTGGATCTCACAACTAAAATGCCTCTGCATGTTTTTCTGATGAGACAGTTTGTACGGATGCTGAGTGGTCACAGGGCAGCGGGGTGCAGAGTCAGAGCGAAGCTTTGTTCCGCTCCCTCCTCCTCGCTGCCCTCAGATGCTGAACTGCAGCATAAATAGGGCTTTGTTAGTTTTGCTGGGTGAACACCAAGTCATTACCACTGCCCTTCTGATTTCTTACCAACTGTCAAAGCAACCGCGACAGGCTACTCCCTTCTCCACAGCTGCTCCACACTTCAAGCTTTGAAAGTGTCAAAAAGCTACTAATGACCAAAAATGTGTATGCTTTTAGTACCTAGAAATCTTAGAAAATTTTTACCCATGCTTTTAGGGCCCTAAAATTTCAGAAAACCAGAGCCAGTATGAAAGAAAACATAACTCAGCCAGGTATAGAGGTGAATCCTAGTACTCGGGGGCAGAGGAAGGGAGCTGGCTACAGCCCAAGGCCAACCTCCACTTATTTCCAGTCTAGCCTGGGCTACAGTGAGACCCTACCTCAAACTGTCTCTGCTCACTTCCAGTCCAGCCTGGGCTATTGTGAGGAGACCCTACCTCAAACTGTCTCTGCTCACTTCCAGTCCAGCCTGGGCTACAGTGAGACCCTACCTCAAACTGTCTCCACTTCCAGTCCAGCCTGGGCTATAGTGAGGAGACCCTACCTCAAACTGTCTCTGCTCACTTCCAGTCTAGCCTGGGCTACAGTGAGACCCTACCTCAAACTGTCACCCATTAATTCTGGGCTTTCACTAAACACATTTTTTAAAAAAAACTTTTTAGAGCACGAGAGTTTGCCTGCAAGTATGTATATCCGTATGTTTATATGTGCACTGTAGTTCCCCAGAGGCCCAGATGAGGATGCTGGATTCCTCATGAGCTGCAACATGGATGTTAGGACTGAAATCTGGGTTCTCTAAGAGCGGCAAATGCTCTTAGCCACTAAAACCTCTCCAGCCTGACTTTTTTTCTTTGAAATTCCTGTAAACAACCTCCACTTCAGAATAAGATTATGGCCCCAAATAAAACCTTATACATGTTTGTGTGTGCAGAGTGTTCACAGGCCAGAGGGAGACGCCTTCAATTGTTTTTCATCTTTTTTTTTTTGGTTTTTCGAGACAGGGTTTCTCTGTGGTTTTGGAGCCTGTCCTGGAACTCATCTTATCTTTTTGAGACAAGGTCTCTCACTGAACCTGGAGCTCATCTATTTAGCTGGCTAGAAGGCCCAAGGGCCACCTGTCTCCATCTCCTGGTTACAGGGCAGGGCTGCCACACCCAGTGTTTTCATGAGCTCTAGGGAACAGAAGTTTGGTCCTCAGGCTCACACAGCAAACACTTCCCAGACTGGGCCATCTTCCCAACCCCACTAGATGAGTTTGATAAAATTTACATGTTTGTGTGTTTCCAAGTAATTAAGTTTTACTACAAAATAAAGAGTATATTATTTTTTTTCTATTTAACAAATTAGTGTAATAAGTTTAAGGGTATTGATAAAATTAATAATTCAAAACAATATTTCACTTATTAAATATTGTATAATGAACTCCAGTGTTATACTGGTAAGCATTTCCCGCTAATATTGGGTAGTGGTGGTGCACGCCTTTAATCCCAGCAGACGGATCTCTGAGCTTGAGAACAATCTGCTTTATAGAGAGGGTTCCAGGACAGTCAGAGTTGTAACAAAGAGAAACTCTGCTTCAAAGGGAAAAAAACAAAACAAAACCCCACGTGATTGAAAAGTGAGGTGAGCAGATTCAGGCTTCCTTGATGAGCCAAGGATGGAGAACCTGGCCGAAGTCCCATTCACTGAGTTCCATTTTACTTACCCTCTTCACTGACCTAAAGTCAAAATCCTCACTTACAGCAAATAAAGATACAGTGGGTTACCCTCTCCCAACAACAAAAAAACTGGGAGCAGAGGTTAGGAGCTGGGTTTTCAAAATGAATTTTATTTGTTACTATAACATTCTTTAAACAAAAAAACAATCCGGCATTAACACAAAAATGCTCTTCTGTGAATGAAATGTTCTCACAGCCCCACGTACCAACCGAGAAATGGTAAGGATTGTTCTGTTTTTGGCATTCTTTCTTATAGCTCTTCTTCTTTTTTAAAGATTTATTTATTATACATAGTGTTCTGGCATGGAGCCACCATGTGGGTACTGGGAATTGAACTCAGGACCTCTGGAAGAGCAGCCTATGCTCGTAACCTCTGAGCCATCTCTCCAGTCCCTCTATTAGCTCTCCTAAGCAGTATGTATGACACACACCAGAGGTAGGAAAGGCCATTTTAATAAATTATCTTAATTGTACAGATTTTCTCAAAATTAAACATGCTAAACCATGCCCTGGATGAATCTCAAGACTGCACACCAGTCTTTCTATCTGAAGACTTAATCCACTGGAGTGTCTAGTCTTTGTCCAGTAACTTGACAGCAAGATCATCCAGGGTCGCCAACCTCACCCGAGTCTTCTACCACATCTCACTTGCCGATTCTTTGGACCACCCAGTCCTGCTGGCAGAGAGGGCAGCGATTGTTCTGTTTCACCCACAGGGACATGCAGCAGTTGTGAAAGGAATGATTACATTCTCCCCAGACCACTGGAAGAAAAAAAAAGAACAGCTGAGTAGGTGGGTATGCAGTACGTACCTGTCATCTGAGTACTGAGGCAGGAGGAGTGCCTCCAGTTCTAGGCCAATGTGGTTACAAAGCAAGACCTTGCCTCAGAAACAGCCAATCAATTAAACAAACAATCAACCCACCCAAAAACTGACATGACATAGTTCAATTAAAATAGCTAATCCCAGGAGGACATGACCGTAGGAGGGGACCACATGGAGGGAGAGTTCAGGGGAGCAGGAGGGACGACCAGTGGTGGACATAATCAATATACATTGTATGACTGTATGAAATAATCAAAGCATAATTTTTAAATATTCTAAAAAAATTAAATTACTAAGTTCAAAATTAGATTAAAAAAAGGTCAAGAAAATAGTAATGGCTCAAAATCCTGAAAAAAGCTGGATAAATGGTCAAATTGGTTTTTTCTATCTACAAAAAAATTTACAAATATAAGTTACCTTAAGAAATATGCACTGAATGCAGAGCTCAGCCTGGCGGTGGAGAGGCTGGGGGTCTGACCAATCCTCCAACAACCAGGCCCAGAAGCAGGATTACATGTTGCACCCCAGCATCCACCGCACCCATGAGCTGCTGGAGCACGGGTGTGTGTGTATTTGTGTGTGCTGGTCCTGTGGACCCAGGGCAGCAACGGGATGTCCAGGAAGAGTCCCGTGAGAGCCCAGCACTGACAGTAGAGAGACCTGGGGCACCAGACCAGTTATTCTTTGGGATGAACGCCTGCATGTAAAATGTATGGCTAAAGGGTTTACTGCACGGCCCACTGTATCACACTGCAGCTTCCATGATGAGATTTTTTCCTTTCTTCCTTTATTCTTAAAAAAACTTTGTGTGTGTGTGTGTGTGTGTGTGTGTGTGTGTGTGTGTAATCGGGAGGCACGATGTGAAAGATACAAATAAACAAAAGAAAGAAATTTGCGACAGGCTGGGCATGGTGGCATTCTCCTTTAATCCCAGCACTCAGGAGAGGCAGGTGGATCTCTGAGAGTTCGAGGCCAGCCTGGTTCTAGGACAGCCAGGGCTGTTATACAGATAAATTGTCTCGACCCTCTCCGCCAAAGAAAAGAAAAGAAAGAAGAAAAAAGAAACATGTCACTTCTTTTCAGGGTAAACTTAATCCCATGCTACTAAACAAATCTATTTGGTGTCTTCTTAAATTAGGAGATTAAAGGCCTTGAATCTGTCATAGAGCCCAGACCTCCTCGGCCAAGAGGCGACCTTAGGGATCATTTGCACTTTCCTTATAACATCCTCCTGGTTTTTATTTACCCAGATACAATGTTTTACAGGCCCTGGGCTTACAGCTGGCTATTACAAACAGATGGTAGTCCGGGAACATCACCAGCTGTCTATCTACTGAGCTGTTTTTGTGAAGCTGTGAAGTTTTGAATTATGGTACTGACCAGTTGGTAAGGTCATGAAGGCCAGTCCCTGCAGGGTGAGAGATCACTGAAAGGCCAGCCTGGTCTACATAGCAAGTGTCAAGTAAGAGCCACACATTGAGACCAAAACCAGAAAGTTACCATGTCAGCAGGCAGTGCAGCTCCTCACCTATCAGATCTGCAGAGCGGCTGGAGAGGCATGTCTCTGCGACCAGGGTTCTTTGCTGAGATGGGCCTTGCTATAAGCCCAGCCTGGCCTGGAATTCACTATGTACACTATGGTAACTGCCCTGTCTCAGGCTTGCAAGGTGCTGGGATTACAGACGTAGGCCAACATGCTCAGGTCTTAAAAATCTGTCTGTCTTTCCTTTCTTCTTTCCCTCCCCTCTGTCCTACTTCCTTTTCCTTTGGAGACAGGGTCTCACTCCATAGTCCTGACTGGCCTGGAATTTGCTGATAGAGCAGGCTGGTATCCAACCTACAGTGTACCTCCTGCCTCTGCTGGGAGTACGAGTGTGTGCCACCAGTCCTGGCCTCTAGTTTTCTTAGCAGAAAATGTATTTCTTTCTGCTTAGCAAAATGTTTATCAAGACCATGAATGGAATATATACTCAATTATTAACTAAAATAGAAGAACTCATAAATTTATCTCAATAAGGTTTTTTTTTTTAAAGAACTAAAACATTTTACTATTTATTCTTTCCCTTTTAGTTTTAATTCTGATTTTGCTTGCTCTTATTTCTAATTGTGTGTATAGGATGAGGGGCATGCATGCCACTGCTCCCCGTGGATGGCAGAGGACCTTGTGGAGTGGTCAGGTTTGAGAGGTTAAGTGCTTTTACCTGAGCCATCTCACCAGCGCCTAAGTGCTCTGAATATTTACACTAGTAATTAATTATTGCTTTATGGCTTAATTTTTTTATGTACTGACAAAGCCATTTCTTTCTTTGGGAAACAGGTCTCACTATGTAGCGAAAGCTAGCCTCAACCTCTTAGTCATGGATTTACAGGCCTAGGTTACCAAAGATAGTTCAATAAAGTCAATTTGAATTGCAAACTCAAACATTCCCACAGAGACAGAAGAAAACCTCCAACTGAAAAGGCAGAAAGGAGAATTAACACATACCAACACAGTCCTCTTGTTTGTTTTCAGCTTGACATCTAAGGCAGGCATCTAAAAGCAAACAAAAGCAAATCTCATCTGAGGTTCAGGAGGAATACTGGAAACCCAGACCTTCAAAGTCAAACAAAAGCCCTGAGGATCAGAGATGGAGATAAGCATTTCATATTAATTTCTCATCTAAAAATAACTATTTAAAGAGAAATAAAATACATGGCATTCTATTAGTTCACTTGTGACCAATATTTGACCAGGGCTAACGATGATCTTACAAGTTCATATGACAAGAGAACTTGGCAGTGGCATTAGGGAAAGTCCTTCAAGACAAAGATGCCAACTATACCATAACAAATTATTTTAAGGCCACTGGCTTGTTCACTCACAAGGACCAACCTCAGGGTTATTTTCAAGACACCAGTGTAAATAAGCCATGCCCATGTATTCCTTAGTTATTATCTTCAAGGAACCAGTAAAGATTTTTGTTGAGAGAGGGTCTCACATAGCCCTTAGTCTCTAACCTGAACATACTGTGGATGACAACCTTAAAATCCTGCCTTAATGATTTGGAATTACAAGCATGTGCCCCCAGCCCTGCCCAACAATAAAGTGTAGGATAGACCAGGAAGAAATTTTCACATAAACCCCCTGATTTTTTTTTTTTTTTGGGTTTTTCAAGACAGGGTTTCTCTGTGGCTTTGGAGCCTGTCCTGGAACTAGCTCCTGTAGACCAGGCTGGTCTCGAACTCACAGAGATCCGCCTGCCTCTGCCTCCCAAGTGCTGGGATTAAAGACATGCGCCACCACCTCCCGGCTAACCCCGAATTTTTAAGCCATGTGACTATACAACCTAGTTGAAAGTTAACAACTTTTTTCCTAATTTTCCATAAGCAAAATTCCTTTCCTTTGTTTTTGAGACTGGGTTTTATGTTGCTCAGGCTGGCTTAAAACTATATGGCCTAAGCCGGGCGATGGTGGCGCACGCCTTTAATCCCAGCACTCGGGAGGCAGGGGCAGGCGGATCTATGTGAGTTCGAGACCAGCCTGGTCTACAGAGCTAATTCCAGGATAGGCTACAAAGCCACAGAGAAACCCTGTCTCGAAAAACCAAAAAAAAAAAAAAAAAAAAAAAAAAAAAAAAACAACTATATGGCCTAGGATGGCCCAACCCCCAGTCCTCAATGCACTCACCCAACAACGGCAAAGTACTTGAAGAAATTAAGTAAATACCAGAAATGGAAACTTAATAATTCAATCAACACAATACTTTAGGGACCAGTGAAACTGGTTCATTCTTTAACTGTATAAACAGTCCAAATTTGGTAAAAGGAGGCTCAAGCTGACAGAAAATGCTTGGTGTTAATTATGTGTGTGTGCTAACTGTGGGCATGTGCACGCAGGTGTCCGGAGGCCAGATGCGCTGGACACGGCTGGGGCCGGGGCTACAGGCACTCTGTGAGTTGCCCCACATCGGTGCAGTCTGTGCTCTTTACCACCGCGCCATTTCTCCAGATCCAGCAGACTGCTCTGAGTTCAGGACTGCTTTGTTACACAGTGTGCTGCTAACGTCAGGGCTAGAATGACTTCGAAAGGTAAAAAAAGAAAATTCTGTAAAAGAACACCCAGCCTGGAGTTGAAGACGGCTTCCTGCCTCTCCTTACACTGGCTCACGCATATGATATACTTGGGCCCTGGCTCAAGTATGTCATATGGTGGAGAATCAGTGAGTCACTACTTTTTTTGTTTTTCGAGACAGGGTTTCTCTGTGTATCTTTGGCTGTCCTGGAACTCACTCTGTAGTGAGTTTGGGCTGGACCCAAACTCTCAGAGATCCACCTACCTCTGCCTCCCAAGTGCTGGGATTAAAGATTTGTGCCACCATCACCTGGCGCCACTACCTCTTTTTCTAAAGGAGGAACCTAAGGCTCCACAAAACCCGTGTTAAATGTCTAAACTAACAGAGTCAGGTACCCTCACCCTGGCTGTACAGATGGCCTGGCCTCCTCTTTATGCCACCTGCTCCTTTCAGGAGGAAGTGGGTTGTGGATGGAACCCAAAGGAGAGCACTACCTGCACTGCAATGGGATGGATGGGCCAACCTTAGAGTAAGAAGGCAAGAAAGTCACTTTAAGATTATCAAAAATCCAGGGCTGAAAAGATGGCTCAGTGGTTAAGAGTCTCAAACAGGACGAGTTCAGTCCCAATGCCCATCTAAAGGAGCTCATGACTGATGTAACTCCATCTCCACAGGGATCACAGGCACCTGCACTCAGATGCACATATCCTCCATACAGATACATGATTACCAAAAAACCAAAACATACAGCCAGACGGCGGTGGGAGGCAGAGATGGCCGGATCTTAGAGAGTTTGAGACCAGCCTGGTCTAGAAAGCAAGTTCCAGGACAGCTAGGACTGTTACACAGAGAAACCCTGTCTGGAAAATCCAAAAACAAAATATATAATTACAAATTAAAGAAAAAAATGTGTGGGGGTGGGGGGAAGGTTGGGTTGAGACAGTGTGTCTCTACACATACCTGGCTTGTCTTGGAGCTCACTGACCTTAAAATCAAAGAGATCCACCTGCTTCTGCCTCCCAAGTACTGGGATTAAAAACTGTGCGCCACCTTGCCCAGCACAAAACTAACAAACAGCACGCGCACACACACACACGCGCGCGCGCACACACACACACACAGACACACACACAATAAATAAATGTAATTTTATAAATAAAAAGGTCTACCTCTCTAAAAAAATTTTTTTTTGTCTTTCTGCTGTTGACATCTTGGCTGGGCTGGATTTCCTATATATGCCTTTGAATTAACAAGCAGAGCCTTCCAGGAACTCGCTCTGCAGACCAGGCTGGCCTCAAACTCACAGAGATTTGACTTGTCTCTGCCTCCCGAGTACTAGTTATTAAAGGCGAGCGCCGCCACTGCCCGGCCTGGACTGGGCTCTTAAACTATGTAAAACTCAACTAGAGGCCGGGCGGTGGTGGCGCACGCCTTTAATCCCAGCACTAGGGAGGCAGAGGCGGGCGGATCTCTGTGAGTTTGAGTCCAGTCTGGTCTACAGAGCGAGTTCCAGGACAGGCTCCAAAGCTACAGGGAAACCCTGTCTCAAAAAAACCAAACCAACCAAACAAACAAAAAACAAAAAAACTCAACTAGATTACGCTGGTTTCATACGTTTCACTTGGCCCAATATTTTCGTTCAAAATAAAACTGACTATGAAAGGTTCTTTGAAAGGGCACAAAAGGGCAGATCAGTATTTTCTCTAAGAAATGGTACCATTTATGGGAAGTGGACATGATGAAGTTTCATGTTTCTGTACCAAGCAAGGACTTTTCTATCCTTGGATTCCCATGGATTTAAATCCTCTTGGCCCTCGATTCAAGACAAGCGAGCTCTGACTCGTCTTGTCGATCTGAATTTTAAAAACCAGCCAAAGAGCGGCTGCAACAACGAATCTACGCAAATGACTGCGTATCATTTCGGGATTGACAAGAGCCGTGAAGTGAAATCCACACGATGGCGCGGGCTCATAATTCCCTAGAATTTGGGAGGTGCTGGCAGGAGCACCGGGGGTTCAAGGCCGACCCCGGCTAGTTGGGCAACTTCCAAGCCAGCCTGGGGAACACGCGAGTCTCTCAAAAACAAACACCCCAACCCTCAGATCCACGTCTCGGGCTCCGCTGTGAGGTTTGCTGGCCGCTGGGCAACCCACACACTGGTTCCCGGGGATCACCCGGTTGTGTTCCCTCGGTCACGCCCACCACTCGCGGGAATCACCCCGCACGGGCGGCTCGGCCCAGTGCTCGCCGGCGGAGCCCGCCCAGCAGCCCCAGGCTCGCGTGCCGCGAGCGCTTCGCTTACCCATCACCTGGACCCTGCAGATGGCGCAGGTGTCGCACTCAACGTCCCAGCTCCACATGGCTACCGCGTTCCACTTCTTGAGGGAGAACATCTTGTCGCCCCCCGGCCTGGAGCCTGCAGTCCCGGAGTGCGAGGACAACACGCACGGTTCCTCGCCGTCCTCCACGTCGGCCATGGCGGCGGCGCAGAACGGCGACGCGGACGTCGGGCGCGGAGGCGGGAGGTATGGCGGCTCAGTAGGGCCCAAACGCGTGCCGCGGCGCCTCCCGCAGGTACGCCGCGCCGCCGGAGGTAGGCGGTGCTGATTGGCTGGCCCGGCTCGGTGACGCCACGAGGCCTGCACTGGGACCCTCTGCGCCTGCTGCTGCTTTGCACGGGCCATGGGCATTTATTGCAGAGCGAGCGCTGTCTTGCGTCTTCCTTTATTACACCCGGATCTCTCGGACATCACCTTGCTTCCGTTTTCATTTGTCGTCTCTCCCAAATGTGAACTATCAGAGTAGGGAGAAAAGTGTCGCTGGGCGGTGGTGGCGCATGCCTTTAATCCCAGCACTCGGGAGGCAGAGGCAGCGGATCTCTGTGAGTTCGAGACCAGCCTGGTCTACAGAGCTAGTTCCAGGACAGGATCCAAAGCCATAGAGAAACCCTGTCTCGAAAAACCAAAAAAAGAAAAAAAAAAAAAGAAAAGTCTCCCCATCACTGTATCTTACAAAATGCCTGACCGTAGGAGGCCTGTAGAAAGCAAGAGATCCAGGAATCTGGTTCAGTGGGTTTTAATTTGGGAGTGGGAGTCTTGGATTTCTTTTCTTTCTTTCCTTCCTTCCTCCCTCTTTTTTTTTTTTTTTTTTTTTTTTTTTTTTTTTTTTTTAAAGACAAGGTTTCCACGCCGGGCGGTGGTGGCGCACGCCTTTAATCCCAGCACTCGGGAGGCAGAGGCAGGCGAATGTCTGTGAGTTCGAGGCCAGCCTGGTCTACAAGAGCTAGTTCCAGGACGGGCACCAAAGCTACAGAGAAACCCTGTCTTGAAAAGCCAAAAAAAAAAAAAAAAAGACAAGGTTTTTCTCACTGTGTAGCCCTGATTTGTCCTGGAACCTATCAAGATCAGGTTGGTCTTGAATTCAGATTGAGTCGTCTCCACCTCCCGAATGCTGGGATTAAGGGCGTGAATCACCACACCCAGCATCTTGGATTTCTTTACACTTAAAATTTATTAGGGCCTTGGAGCCTGTCCTGGAACTAGCTCTATAGATCTGCCTGCCTCTGCCTCCCAAAAACTAGGATTAAAGGCCTGGGCCACTGCTCCAGGCTTCTGTTTCTGGGTCTCACTACACAGCTCCATCCGGCCTGGAAATCACTGTTGAACCAGGCTGACTTGGTATTCACCTGCCTCTGCTTCTGGAGCGCTATTAGGATCTGCAAAGGCTTTTATTCATGTAAAAGATAGATTTAGTTTATTTGCTAGCTTCCTTGAGGCAGTTTCCCCTTTTAAATCGAGCTGGCCTAGGACTCCTTAGGTAGCCCAGGCTGCCCTGGAACTCATAATTCCCCTGCCTCGAAAGCCTCAGTCATATGATTGCTATGTATAAATAAGAGTGGAAAACGGAAATTGTTACAAAATATTGTTACACAAAGAAAAATAATCCCAGAAACCCTGTAGGAGGGCCCTAAGTTCCTCTTTTAAAAAAACAACAAAACAAAAAAACCACATAATGGAAAACTAGGAAAGTGGCAACTATCATAGAACTGTCATATGAAGGTGCCAGTCTTGAAACCCAAAGTCATCTGTTTTTCCAAGCAAAGTAGATGTCTCCCATAAAGATCAGAAGCTGAGGTGTAGAGTCTGGAGGGGTGTTTAAATCCACTACACCCTGTGGTGTCAAGTGTAGGGACTCAGAGCCTTGCTCCGGTCACTGGCCTCTCATGATCTGCTAGTCCCCAACATCCCTACCTGGCCCCTGGAGAGGGGCTAGAAGACCGAGAACACATTAATATATAGAGCACTGAGTGTGGCTGCAGAGTCCTGCTTGGTGGATCTGTATGTAAGAGGTGAGGTTGGTGTTAGGATTTAGGCATTATCCTAGCCTGCCCTGTCATCTGGCAGGAAGTCCTAGTCTATACACAGGTGCCAAGGTCCCTTTAAGAGACAAGCTCCGCCCACATCAGCTCTCTTTCCTGCTCTTCCTCTAAAGGAGCAGGGAGGACTTTTCCTGTCTCATTTCTCTGTCTGTCCCCCTCCCCCATTCTTTCCTTCCTTTCCTTATTTTTATGATTTTTTAGAAATGCTGGCGGGTCCTGAGCAGCTGGCGGCGGGTCCCAGGAGAGCGGCTTGCGGGCTGGGCTTAAAAATGCTACAAGATCCCCAGGCAGGCCCTGCGGTGGTGGCGCACGCCTTTAATCCCAGCACTCGGGGAGGCACTGTGAGTTCGAGGCCAGCCTGGTCTACAGAGCTAGTTCCAGGACAGGCTCCAAAGCCACAGAGAAACCCTGTCTCGAAAAACAAAAACAAAACCAAACAAACAAAAAAAGATCCCCAGGTGGTTCCCGAGCGTTGATTCATGCCAGGCGGGCTGGTCCCGCCATGCAGCAAGCAGGTGTGCAGGAGACAGAAAGAAGGGACATGAGCAGACACATCATATACAGAATAGAATTGAATATTTATTACTTAAAGAAGGGGGAAAGAAAGGAGAGAGACATAAACGGGCCTGAGAGAGACACGTGCATGCGAAGAGGGGACAGACAGAATCTAAGATGGCAGGGGAAGCGCAGGGGTTGCCGGGAGTGGGCGTGGCTTGCCTCTTAAAGAGATGAAAACCATAACACTTATCTCAAATAAAACTCTTCACTTAAGCTCTGCTTGCATGGTGTATTCTGTCACCAGCTGTGGTTTGGACCTGCCCACCACGGGACCTGTTGCAAAGGTCTCTCACAGGCTGCTCACCCACTTTGGGACCTATCAGGGTCCCACTTGCTCCGTAACAACAATAGGAACTGGGGAGACAGGAGGTAGAGTGGACAGCTGGCCTGTGTATCTCATCTGTTGGCCAGAGCAGAGCAATAGTGAAGGGAGACAGGGATCTGCCCACACTTTATGATGCCTATGAACAAGCCTGAGTTACCTGCTCCAAACACATCTTCTGCTTATGCAAGAAGACCCCTAATCTGAAGCTGATGGCTGTATGTGATAGACGGTTAATGAAGAAGGAAGAAGGCAGATGGAGATAAACCACACCCGGGGGAGAGCCCAGCAGTCAGGGAAGGAGGGACGCCTGTATATGCGTAGTTGAAAGAATGACGGCTGGGAGAGCATGAGGGTGGGCCGTGCCCATGGCTGGCCCAGCAGAGGACTGTGAGACCAGACAGGAGGGAGAACAGGGGAAGTCTGCAGTGCAGACATCTGGCGCTCTCTCAGGAAGGCCTTCCAAATGACGGAGACTAGGCAAAGAGATGGGCAAGAGCACCATGTATAAGCAAATGTGCTCCGGGGAAATGGCAGAGCAGGGACAGCCAAGGAAGGCCCAGGCTGTGCAGTTAGTTCAGGCATAACTTAAGCCACCCGGAAGGGGCCCTTGTGATCCGCTTTTATGCCCCTGCCAACAGGTTTTGTCTCAGATCAAAGGCAGTCAGAGGGCAAGGACAACAAGAGAGCTTGGACTTGGAAAAAGCAAAAGGTGCCTGCCTCCTGCCTTGCTCAGCTCATGCTGGCCACCATCCTTCAGGTTCCTCTTACCAGCTGGAGAGTATTGCGGATGCTCCCATGCAAGCTCTGGACCTCATATACCTGCTTCTGTAATGCCCCACTGGAGAAAGGTACAGACAACCACTTTGCTCAGTCCATTGAAAGTCTATGAGTCCTCAGTGGTCAAGAGCACTGACTGTTCTTCTAGAGGACCCAGGTTCGATTCCCAGCACACACACACGGCAACTCACGACTGTCTGTAATTCTAAGATCTGACACCCTCGGACAGACATACATGCAGGCAAAACACCGATGCACATTTTAAAAAAGCATATAAGTCCTTTATTGTTCTATGACCATTGTTGTGGGGTAGTCACAAGAGAAGACTGCCCAGACATGGGTTTAAGTCAATAAAGCGTCTTTATTAAGCCAGGCATGGTAGCACACCCCTTAAATCCCAGCACTCAAGAGGCAGAGGCAGGCAGATTTCTGTGAGTTTGAGGTCAACCAGGTCTATGGGGCAAATTCCAGGATAGCCAGAGATACACAGAAAAACCGTGTCTTGAAAAAAACAAAAAGCAAAAGTAAACCTGGCAGGCAACCACACTGAGTGTTTGGGATCCCAGTGTAGCCCTGAGTGTAGTTGTTTTCTTTTTACTGTTTGGAGGCCTGCCACCCAGCTCTCAAATAAAGACACAGGGACTTATTCTTACTTATGAATGCCCCGTCTTAGCTTGGCTTGTTTCTAGGCAGCTTTTCTAACTTAAATTATCCCATTTTTCTTTAACTATGATTTTTTTACCTTTCGTTATATCTTTCTTCCCTTCTTAGTCCGTGGCTGGCTGTGTGTCTGGGTGACCAGGCCCTGGTGTCCTCCTCCCTCCTTTTCTCCATCCTTCCTCGTCCCATTCTTCTTCTCTAGCCTAGATGTCTCCTCCTATTTATTCTCTCTACCTTCTAGCCCCACCTATTCTCTCTTCTGTCTAGCTATTGGCCCTTCAGTTCTTTATTAGACCAATCAGATATTTTAGACAGGCAAAGTAACACAGCTTTACAGCATTAAACAACTGCAAAATAAAAGAATGCAACATATCTGTGCATCATTCAACAAATGTTCCACAGCATAAACAAATGTAACACATCTTAAAATAATATTCCGCAACACCTGAGCCTTTCTCAGGCTGAGATTTTAAGCACAAAAACTATTTTCTGGGTTGACATACTTCTGTTAACAAAAAGAGTTACCCAGGAGTGGAATTATAGAAACCAAAAAGCAAGGTTAGTACATTTAGAGACTTCTTCCGGAACTACGAATTTTGGTAGATTAGGTCTTTAGTTTTAGCAGGTGGTTCTGAGTAAATGCTGAATTTTACAGCCTGAATGATACTTCAATCATGGAGTCAGTTGTGCTAAGATCTTGGGGCCTACTAAGGTCTGGGGCCCTATTACAACCAAGACTGGGTTCATACCTCAGCGTCTCTTGATGCTTAGGGCGGGGTACAGCATTTTTAAGTGTAAAAATCAATGACATAAC